CTTGACTTGAAGTTTAATTTTCACCATATTTATGTAGAGATAAATGAAAACTAAGGCCATATTCTTGCTCTACGTGAAATTTTGAGTCGATTAGTGTAGGGATTTTTCATTTTCGTGGCAGTTTTATGTTTTCTCTGATAGGCTTCATCGAAGAAGACGGGCGGAGCTAGGGCTACAGCGTCTGAGTTTTGAGGTTTGAAAGTTTGACCATGCATATCACTTTTTAATTGGGTCCTGGCTTTTTTTTATTCCACGTACTTTTCTGGCTTCTCATTTATTCATTTTTTTTTAATTTGTTATTTATTGTATTTAATTTAAATTTGAGACAGAAAATGAAGTGAAATGGATTGAAAATTGAATTGGGCTTAGCGCAACTGTTTTCCACACCCCTGTTTTGGCCCAAGCGTGCTATACAACTATTTCTAGTTCAATCTAAATTTCAGTTTTACACCCCCTCCTTTTGTTTTGTTTATCGTTATTTCTTTTCTAATTTCAATTTTGTTTTAATTGTTCCCTTAATCTAAAAATTCCAAAAAAAAAATGTTTCTGACTATTTGATGTCTTATTTGATTTTCCTTAATTTTTATTTTTTATTTTCCTTTTTTCATATTTTATTTTGATTTAATTGTGAGATGTGTTTTAATTGCCTAATTGTCTAGTTAGGTTTGTGTTTGATGAATTCTAAAATGCTAATTGATCCAATATTTTCCACACACTTAGGCACATAAATGCTTTAGGTTTGACTGTTTAATTGAGGTCTTGTTGTGTCTATTTGATGCTTGTTTGAAATATTTTTGAGAGCCTTGTTTGCGTGATCAGTGTGTGATATAGTTGATTGATTTTTTAGCTTTGCTTTGAGCAATTTTTGCACACTTTTTAGGCACTTTTAGGACACTTGTGTGTTGGCTGATATCACATTATTTTGATAATTTTCCAACTTATTTTTTAGTCTCCTAAGTGTTGTTTTGCATGAATTTCTTGCATTCCTAATTGTGTAGATGTTTGTTTGCATTGATGAGATGTTTAGGGTTTTCACTTGTGCATCCAATTAGGGTTTGTTCTTCCATTTTACTTGTATGGAATTCCATGGGGTAGAGACTCTACTCAATTTTATAGATCATGTGTGAGCATTGAATTGTTGTTACAACTGAGTGGTCTTTTAGGGTTTGGTTTGCCTATCTTGTGTCTCAATCTTTAAGTAGGCTTTGTGTGATAGATTTGTGATGTTTATGAGCCTTTCATATTTGAATATATCATGTCTAATGTCTAAGCTTCTGACTTGTCTTGTTTGGTTTCTTAATCCATGATATTGTTCTCCATTTTCCTTGCTAGGAATAGTTGTTCACTTTTGTTGACTTTGATTAATGGATACATGTTTTGTTGATTATGCTTTGAATTCAATATTTGTTTGAATCTTCTTATGATATTGATACATGTTTAAGTTGAATCTCTTGTTCTTATTTTTCTCATATTATTCACCATATTACTATCCTTTTTCCTTTCTTGTTAGCATCTTTTGTTTAGAGGACTACTCTCCACCTAGGGTTGTTTTTGACAAGTTACTTGTGTGACATTGATATGTTTCTTTATAAACCTTTGTGGTATTATTATAAATGAGTTTATTTTGGCATAGTTGCTTATTTGTATTTCTTATCATCTTATTCACTTCACTTCTCCTTTATATGTCATGTTTGGTTAAGCATTTGACACTTAAAGCTTTGTATGATAGCACCCTTGTCTATTTGCTTTCTCTTAGGTCTCTAATGCTAATACCTTGTGTGAATGACCCTTAGTCTTTGTTTACATGTCTAAGTATTTACTTTGATGTCAACTTGATACCTTGATGCCATGTTTGAACTTAAATGCCTGGATCATTTGCGGTTTGATCCTTAGGGACTAGTTTTGTTATTCGGTTGGTCTTTTGACCTAATTCTTGTGTGATCCTTGTGTGATATTTCTCTCATCTTTGAGAAATATTTTTGTGAAACTTTTGAGGTATACTTGCTGACTTGTATGAGCTTTTATCTTGCCTAAGTCATCTTGTCTTGATATGCTAAGTGATGATGTTTGTTTAACACTTAAAATCTTGAGTGCTTGTGTGATTGATGATTGCTTGTGTTTTGGTTTATAAAACCTTAGGGTAGAATCATTTGCACATGACCCTTAGGGGACCTTATTGGGTGTGTTGAGTCTTTACTTTGACACATCTTTGCTCATTAATTGATGACATGAAGCATGCTTAGAGTTTAGGATTTGTCTGCTTGCAACTTATGGTTGATATTTGATCTTTTCACACTTAGGTGTTTGGTGGGATTTTATGTCATTTTCTTGATGTCCATGTTCTTGCTTGCTTGTCATCACATGTTCCCTTAGAATATTCATCTTGTAGACTTTAGGTTCTAAACTAAGCATGATAATATTAGGTAGCTCCCTTAACCCTCGCCCATAGGTCCATTTTGCATGCTAACATTATGTAGTTTTCTCTTTGTTATCCTAACTTTAGGACTACATTGCATGACAACACTAGGATTTGATGTTCCCCTTAGATTTTTCTTTTCCTTTTTGCATCTATAAAACTAAAACTTCTTTTTCTTATCAAATCTCAAAAACACTTAATGAATAAAGATGCGGATCATATGTCACTAGCCTTAAGTGGTGGAAAAAGGATGAGGCAGTACATTCTGAACTTTGTTCTTTCTTTCATCCATAGTCTTTAGTATGATCCAATTTACAACTATTTTCACAAATAAGCGGAGAAGTAGTAAGTGCCCCTCCATTGAGATCCATTTGTTATTATCCCAACAAAAACACTCAACAAATTCAAACTCTTTTGTCTTCGTGCTTTTCTTTTGAAAATCTTTTCATAAAAAGGATGTGTTATTTTCATTTTGCGCAATACGACGCGTGAGTCCCCAAAAGTCGGGCAACAATATGTCTACCGCTAAAATGTAAATGTAACATTATCTGCCTAAAACACACAAACATAGTAATTCTTTTTTAGAAGAACTACGATGCTCTGATTCTTTCAGAACACATAGACACTAGGTCTCACGACCAAAGGCGAGCACAATAATAGAAAAACTTTCTTTTTGTTAACAATTCATGCATGCATTTCCTTAACTTGTAAGCTTTAGATAACACACCCTTTGATTAGAACAGCAAGAGTGAATCCTATTGAATACAACTGACATGAGGGGTGTTAATATATTTCTCTTGTGTAATCGACTCCCTTACCCTTCTCTTGATAGTGTGATCTTGTTTTTTCTTTCTCAGGCTTTCTTCGATGTTTTCTTTTCCTTTCTTTTGGATAATAAATATTCGATAGTGACTTCATTGTTTCATTATTTTTCCTAGTTGCTTCACAAGTTCGCAAATATATCTTTGAACTATTTTCTTTAAAAATGTGGTAAATGTTTGATTTACTAAGGAAGAAAAGTGACTCCGAACTATATTGACAAAAAATAGTATTTGGTGTGTTCGGAGATACATCTCCGAATAAATTCAAAAATAGTTTGAAATTTTCAGAAGTACACTCCATTATATAAAGGTATAAAGAGAAATTGTCGAACATTTTTAGGTTTCATAAGATAGCTGATAACCCATAAGAAGGGAAAAGCAACGGCCTGAAATTAAGTGAGAAACTGGGGTTTATCATTTTTATAGTTCTTGATGGTACAGTTTTTTATTGCCTTTATTTACTTTTCAGTTAGATATTGGATACATAATACCTAAAGAATTTTATGCAAGTTGTTTCTTATGAAGTCCTACGTTTTCGAAAGATGTAGCTCCTCTATAAAATGCGGTTAGGAGCAAAAATAGATCAAATTGTCTAACCGAAATTTAGAATTCAATCTATGGTAGACTATACATTTTTTAAATTAAAAAAAAAAAAACATATAAAGGATTCAAACTTCTTTAAAAATTTATTTCATTTAAATAATTATACTATTTATCATAAAAAATAAAATAAAACCTCTTAAACCATGTTACAAGCATATCATATTCATCTAGACTTCAATATATAGTGTAGCTCCTCTATAAAATGCACCTCTCTTCTCTTCCAAATATGTCAAACTGTCATCATGGAAGGATTCCATGCTGCTGCTGCCGTTGTCGTGTATTCTCCTGTTTATCCTCCTCATTCGGAAAAACAACACTCGAGATCTATAAATCTAAAAGGAAGATGTTAAGGTTCCAAATTCAATCACTTTAAAATATTAATCGTGTTCACATTGGCCTTTTGTAAAGTGAAACTTAAAATAAAGTGGTTCATTTTTGTCCTTAGCAAAGTTGATGGCTTGATAACTCCCGTATATTAGTTTTTGAAGTTTGTTGAAAGTTTAACAAATTGCTGTAGTAATAATATCCTTTCACAATCCATTGATTCAAGAGAGACACAACTCAACAGTTTTTTGGAACAAGGATGTCTTCAGAAGACAATGATGTGTTTGAGGAATCAAGAGCTTTATTGCTCTCACTTGAATCATCTAGAACAATTGTACAGTGTACAATTATACAGAGTAGAACTGTTAGATCTAAAAGGGAAATATTTAACTGATTCTGGCATCTGCACTGTACCACCGCCCGAGCCATTCTAGCACCTCCACCCCTCAAGGAGTAGCAGTTACTATAACCACCACAAGAAAATAGCAGGTGGGGTTAAATCACAAATACAACAATGGAATGGCAGACAAATTATTCCATGCCCACGTGGACATCATCCCCAATAGCCAAAACCCTGTTCTGAAATTCTGCAATACATTTTTATCGGAAACAAAGCGTATATTATACTAAACCATCTCCATGTAAAGCTATATGCTTGATTCAATGGAAAACAAGGGAAACAAAAAACTACAGTAACCACAGTAATCTATTATCTATAATATCTAACATTATAGGTTCATCAAGTAATTTTTTTTTAAAACAGAGAAGTAAACAGAGTCCCCTATCTGCAGATCACATTTTCACGTATTCAAAAGATTATTTGGCAAGTTCTATCCTCATGAACTGAGCTCCACAAATAGGCTGGCCTGAGGATGCAATCCTGCTTCCTTTAATGACAGTGTCAACTTTTCTTGTCCATAAACAACCCGAGGAAAATTAGAGACTAAGCTGTAATTTTCGACTTCTAAACAACCCAATGAATCAACATAGTCATATAATGATTGAATTGTCACTGTGCTGTTGAATCTCCTTTCCTTGCGTACGCCATTTGGAAACCGTACCAAAACCTAATAATTTTGATTGGAAGAGAAAAAACAAAACTGAGTTGTCGTCCAAGTTAAAAAACATAATGAAACATAAACTAAACGGAAAAAAAATTGAGAAATTGATCGAGTGAGGATAAAAAGTGAAACCTTCGTATATGAAGGTAAGGTAATATCTCGCATACAAGTGAAACTATATAAACAACATATATATGAACTAATGAAACAAGCCAGGTACATGGTAAAAGCACTACAGGAGAAAAGTTAAATCTTGGCCAAATCTTCATATACTTTACCTGGGTAACATTCGGTCCTTTTTCAGGTTCTTCACCAAGAGACTGAGCTTTCTCTTCACGTAATTTTGCTAATGCTGCTTGTTTCTCTGCAGCTTCCCGTGCTGCTCTTTCACGAGCCTCCTCTTCTTCCTTAAGCTTTCTCTCAGCTTCAGCAGCTTCCCTTGCAAGACGTTCTTCTTCTTCCCTTCTCTGCCGTTCCCTAGCCTGGACATAAACTCAGCATTAATCCAACACAACAATAACAGTGCCAAGACTTCCCAAACAAATCATGGGGTAGAGACCAAGATAACTAACATAAGAAATAACCATACACTACAAAAGACATACTTGATCAGCTTCGAGTGCAGCCCTGTATGCAGCATCTTGCTCTTCCCTTAAGCGTGCATTATTACGTCTTTCTTCTGCATCAAGCCTTGCTGCAACAAGAACTGGGGAGCTTTCTTCAAGCACTCTCTGAAGTGTCACTAACATCTCCTCAGGGGATTTTGGACCTTCAACCTGAATTGAGTAAAATAGATTGATAATACTAATACTTGGCACGTCCAATTTAATAAGACAATTAAGAATATGACTTAATATTGATAAAACATGAAAATAGTACAGCTTTAAATCTCAACCAAATAAGGCAATATTGATATTGAACCTAGACTCAGTTGCCATGAAGTCTTTTGTTGCATAATCATTTGGCACCATCAACAACAAGTGATAGGGAAGAAAATATGTCAAAGTGATAAATAAAGGACCAAGCGGAGATATGTGAAAAACAAAACAAAAATGATGAAGCTTTATCCTACTGCATGAGATTGTCTACTTGAATCAAACACGGTTTACTTTAATGAACTGAATGGCAAGAACTTATTCCATACATCAAGTAAATATGCATGTGATAATTAGGAAACACCAGTTCTTATTATATGATATCGGAGAAGATACTTGCTAAGAGAATGTTTCTCGTGGTGATTAATTTGATCTTATGCTCTAGCCCTGAAAAGCAAGTTCTGGTTCTATATAAAAATGGAATTCAAGGAATTCATGGTGTTTCTTTCTTTGTCATCATTTGCCTGTCACTATTCATTTCTTCGACAAGAAAGTGGGCAAGAAACACTAAAACTGTAGAGTGACACTCACTATTTTTATTTTTATTTTTCTAATACTAATACATCAAACCTCCCTAGTCCTTATGGCTTTTCCATCACATTTTTTAACAGATTCTGATTATAATTTTCTCACAAGCTTGTAGCATATCTGAGCTAAGGGAAATACACAGGTGCATATGTTCAGCAGCCAACAACCAACAAACAATTTTGATCAATTGTGCTGACAAGGATCAACACACCAGCATACACAAACACAACATATAGGGGGATCCCCTTACTTCAAGAGTCTTAGTAAGCAGCTTCATATACTTGATGAAAGTTGAATTTATTAATGCATCGGTTGAATCAAAATTTCTCTGATATGAATGTAATTCATCTTAAGCATGTGCAAAATCGTCATGTTAATACTATATTATTCAATATTCAGATTTGTTAAATATGTTCTACAAGAGACCACCAACAAAATTAGTTTATTAAGACATCCTTATGGGAGTAAATAGATTCCCACTTGTGTGTATGAACCCAAATGCTTGATGATAGTTGAAGTAAGGGGATACAAGAATTTGTGTGAACAAGGGAGGAACACAAATGGTGGATGGCATGTTGAATGAACTGCAGTGCATAAAGTGGGACAATCAATCATCAAATTCAAGCTTCCAAACAGAGACAAAAGAAAGCTGGGGAATTGCGAGGATGATGGCAAATGCCCACAAGAGAGGACGAGGAGGCTGGAGTGAGAGAATGATATTTCCATATGAATCAAATTACAAAAAAAGAGACGGAGGAATAGAAGATACTGATAGAAAATTTGGGAGAGTCATTCCTTTCAGACCCAGAATCTTGATGCAGGGAGGTAGAATTCCCTGCTGGGGAAGAGCTTTCTCCATTCTTTGTCTAATGAACAGAGAACTCGGTATTAGAAACCTGGCAGGTGAGACATGAATGGTACAGAAAAGACTGAAAGCAAGTAGGAAGAAATGGCAATGAGAGTTAAAGGTATATTAAGGAGTCACGGAAGGAACACAGATGGTGGACGGAATGTTGAATGAACTGCAATGCATAATGTGGGACAATCATTCATCAAATTCAAACTTCCAAAGAGAGACAAAAGAAAGCTGAGGAATTGCAGGTGGCAGATGCCCACAAGAAGAGAGGACGAAGAAGCTGGAATGGGAGAATGATATTTTCGTATTGATCAAATTACAAAAGTGGAGAAGGAGACTGCAGCAGCTTTCTCTATAAAGTAAAGGTAACTTAAAAGTTAACATGTTAAAACTCTAAAGAGAGAATGGTCACTCTTTAAATCCCACAGGGGCATAGATAATACAGACCAAAGGACGTGGATGAAACGGCAACTTATCCAAAAACTAATAATGGCATCGAGTCAATCTTATTGATATTTTGTTGAAAGAAATTTGAATCCTAATTCCTAATTATCATTACAAATATTGATAAATTGGCCCAGGTATCCAATATGAAGAGTCAAATTCATAAGAATTAAACCCACCAGACTCATTTCTTTTGTTTTATCTAGGGAAAACATATACTGTAAAATAACTTGCTAATTAAAACTTGGTATAATTATGATTTCAAGACATTGTTTCCCTTTCCCCTTCCCTGTCTTCTATGCTCATGTACAACGGTGTCATACACTAACACCGCCTCTAGCAGGCTAAAATTGTACTTGAGAATAGGGGCTTTCACCCTTTTCTATCTTCTTTTCCTTTACAAATCTCTATCACCCCCAATCCTTATTATTTGAACTGAGCAATACAAATCGTATCCCGGGGTGTTCTTAAATCCAAACCAAATACATAAAAAACATGGTTTGTTCTGGTTTCATTACCACACCAAATACATGGTCATTTTAGCCACACTTAAACTAGAAGCATAATTTAAACATAAAAACATAGAATCCCATTATGCCATTTGCATCCATTTTAACCAATGAACTCACTGAACAAAAACAAATCCGTTAAACCATCAGCAAAAGAAGCTAAAAAAAAAAAAAAACAAGGCCCCATATTAATGAGATGTAAAAATAGTACCTGTTGAAGTAGTGCAATTCTCTGATTAGTTGCAGCCATAACAAGAGCACAAAAAGGAAACCGAGAAGCCTTCAAACTATTACTCATCTTAAATCCTTCACTAGCCCGAATACTCCCACCCCAGCACACAAAATTCTGATTCACAAACTCAACAAAACCATCCGAACAAAGCGTCCTCCGACAAAACAACGGCGTATCAGGATGATCAGGAGAATGTAAGTAAACAAAGAGAAGCTTAAACGAATTCCTCGACCTCTGAAGCGCGTCCATGAAACCCTCACTCACAAAATTAGGTCTCCCCATTCCATAATCCCTCTCAAAAGGCGCCACAAAATCCATAGCCTCAGTAGTCGCCGCAGACACCGAAACCAACGGCGCCGAAGCCGAAGACGAAGTCGCCGATCCCGAGCCCAAGCCCATGAAGCCCAACGAATACGAAAGAACACCACCAGCCGCCCATAATCCCAAACCAACTGCTCCAGAAATTAACCCTAGACTACCGGAAATCACAGATACAGGCAATTTGATTATCTTCCAAGCCAATCCGGGAGGTGGCGGAGGAAGCGGCGGTTCCGATTGGGAAGATGATTGTAGGTTGTTATTATTATCATCACCTCCGCCGGTGCCGGTGGCTGTGTGAGAAGTAGTGGTGGTGAAAGAAGAGATTGCGAGTTCGAGGTCCCAACCGTGAGCGGCGAGGATCTCAGTACAGAGGTCGACGTCTTCCAAACCGGTGATCGCTTGGAAATACGCCAATTTATCGGCTACATCTGCCATTGAAAGTGAAAACCCTTAACACCGACAATAGAGATTTAAGAACGAAGTCGGAAGCGCTTTTTTGAGAATCTAATTGAATAGAAGTGGAACTAAGAAAAAAGCGCGTTTCGATCAATTCATAAAATCGATTCGATTCTGAACTCGTCGTTCACCACAGCCACAACTTCGTCTTCGTTTATCGTTCTGTTCTCGTCTCTTCGGTGTGTATGTGTGACGCTTTATTGTAATTCGGCCTTTTCAAGTGGACCAACATTTTTTAATTTCTGTTTTAACCCGATACAATTTACTAAATTAAATTTTAAAACTATAATTGGTGTTTAATCTTTTCAGAAATCATCTTTCTCAATTTGAGAGATAGAGATATACTCATTCTTGGTATAAATAAATTATTAAATATAGATTTTATATGTAATATATAATATAAATTATTATTATGTATTAATATATAGATAATTATTAGTAGTTTTAGAGAGTTAAGAATTAGTTAAGAAATCACTTCATCTCTTAATTATTAGAAAGTAATTGTGTTTGTATATTTATTTATAGAAGTATTGTACATTAAATAAAAATGAAAATTATTCATAAAAGAATTATAGTCTTTCTTTTTAATGAAGATATATTTTTTTCGAATTAGAATAATTAAATCTATAAATTTATCATTTTCTATCAAATAGATGCGGTTTATTAAAAAAATTGAAAAAGAATTTTGTTGCATATTATGATTTTTATTTTATAAGTAAATTCATTGATAGAGTATAAGGGGTACTCATGCCCAAATACAAATGCAAGATTGATACATCATGAGTATATAAATCAACACAAAACACTCCAACTCTAAGTTAAAGACATACACTTTAATGATGCAACAAATATATCATGAAAAGTGATGCAGCTTGGAGATTTTAATCATATGTTATTCCACTGTCACAGTTTTAATTTAGAATATCTTTCGAATTGCAAACCTCATCTTTAAAAATAATATTGTTACTTGTTGTCCATAAGCACCAACAAGTAGCCAATCAAATTTCCCATTCCAATCCTTTTTTAACTTTTCCCACCATTTTCTGTCCATACCTTAACAAATGCTCTCCAATAGTCTGTTCAGATTCACAGTCAATACCAGACCACACTTCCATCTCATTCCAAATTTTCCTGCTGAAATCGCAAGACAGCTACAAATAAAATAAGGTTTCTTTATCTTGCCCACAGAAAATGCAATTCAAATTCGGTTCTGACTGCAACATTCCTCGATGAGCCTACTGAATCTTGGTAGGCAGCCTATCTTGAATAGCTCTCCAACCGAAAACCTTAACGTTATGCGGCATATCCACAACCCACGCGGCATTAAAGGCTCTAATAACTTCAACGCCAACATCCTCATTTTGATCAATAGAATCTGCACTAATTACTGCACCATACATAGATTTAATAGAGAAGTTTTATCTTGTTCACGTATCCATTCGAATTTGTTGGGTTCGACTGGAGTTGGGGTTGTATTACCTAAAAAAATCAATAATTCATCCTTCTGAAAATTTAAATCAAAAGATAATACATTCTTCCAATTAAACACCCAACGACATTCATTGTCAAACCATTCCCACGTCTCCTTTATGGTATTGCCTTGATTTACTGCTATGTGGAACAGATCTGGGAATGCAAACTCAAGAGATTGATGGCCTAACCAATTAGCACACCAGAAACAGGTGCATCCCTCATTCCAAACCATACAGTCAACAAATTTATTAAAATATACAAAACTAATCTCCTCAGACCCCTTAGCAGCCACCACATCCCTCCACCACACTGAATCCTTAGCTCTTCCTATAATCTTTAAACTAACTACAACTTTCAACCTAATATTGCCATACCTGTTGCGCAACAAACCAGCCCAGTGCATTTTCCTCCATCAAAAACTTCCATTTCCACTTACAAATCAAAGACCTATTTAGTAACTCTAAGTTTTTGATATCCAGCCCTCCCTGATCTTTAGGCTTAGAAGATATTTATCTATGTTAATTTTTGTTATGCGTAGTTGTCTCAAACTTAGATTTATAAAAGAGAATTGTGTTATTGAGTTGACAATTAACCTATTTTTTGTTAAAGCTCTATGACATTGATCAAATGTATAATAACATGGTTGTTAGATTGTTGTCTAGAACTATTATGTTGTATAGTTCAAGTATACTACAGATGAGCAAGGATTCTTGCATCGCCGCTTGGATGCAATGAACACAAGTAAGGATTCCACATTTTTGTGAACAAATATGGATAGAGAAATTAGTTCGAGACACCTTTAATTTTATTAGTGCTTACGCCCCTTAGATTGGGTGAACATAACACATAAAAGTAAAATTTTAGGAGGAGTTAGAAGGCTTATTTTAATATATACCACAAGGAGAAATGAATTTTCTACGAGGGTGTCTCAATGGACGTGTATGGAGAGTATTGAGAGGTTGTAAGGGCTTGCATGGGGTATGATGTAACATCTTAATTCTCGACTCGACATTAAATAAGATAATTCAATAAGTAACCCGAATAATTACAGCGTCGCACATGATTCACCAATCATAAAAATAACTAGTAAAAAATATTCTTTTGAATTACGTAGTGGAAAAACACGTAAGTTTGACGTCAATGTCTCATCAATTGTAGAATAACGAAGTTGGGCTAACAACTCCAAATTGACATAAAATATGCAATAAGAAAAATAGAACAACATGTCCCCAATGTTATATATCAGAGCAACTCCATAAAATATCTGAATGATAAAATAATTAAGGAGGCATCAACGTCGTCCTCTACCTCAAACTGAATGAAAATTGCGATTTAAAACGCATTGGAAATTAAAATTTTCCTTTAGTGATCCTTATGAATGGGCATGGTCTATGATAGAAACTATTACCTCTTGTGTCGATTCAGACCTTTGATATTGTGATCACGAGCGTTGATGAAGAACAACGTCTCTACTCAGTCGACACGAACAGATCGCTTTCGGTCACAGTGCTAGCTGCTTATGAACGAAAACTTTGAGTGAGAGAGTGAGAGAAAATATGGCTAGGATTTCAAGACAGAATTTTCATCAAGTGAAAATGCTTCAGCACAAGGGTTATATTTATAAAACCACTTGTGTGGGCTGCAAGCTAAAAGCCCAATTAAGGTTGCGGGCTAAAAACCCAATTAAGCTTACGGGTATCATACCTTATAATGTACCGTATATCACTTAAGCATGTGGTACCTTACCACATTTTGTATTCCACTTAAGCGTATTGTACCTTACGGTGTTCTATAATTCTCTTAAGTGCATTGTACCTTACGGTGTCCCTTATTTACATTATCTTTCATTAACATATTCTTATGTGTGTGACCCTGTAGGTTTCTGTGACGTTGGCAATTATATTAAATCACACATTTGACATAATAAACAGTAAGCGGTATCTAGCAACACATTACTACTACCCAAGTCACGAAAATATCATGTGATCTGACAAAACCTTTATGTGATAATATTTGTATGTACAATTACTATTTTGCCCTTATTTCTATATTGAACACAAGGCATAGATCGTGTCGCCTTTGTCCAGTTCAATATTGGGCCCTTAGACATTTATCCTATTATACAGGATGGGCAAATTTCATCTAGGTCACTCATGTCCCTCAATATGCTTTATGAAGTACCCATTAACTATCTTTATGGTCATCCAGTTATGAATAACGTTTGATCAGCAATAAAGTACTTAACTCTACATCTAGGGTCCATAGTGGTTTTAGGTATAAGGGTGGTATACACCTTTATCACCATGAGAATAACTTATGACACATTGCATAACATTCTATGTAGTATTCTTATAGCGGGTCAATCCAGTATAAATATTACTCCTAATATTCATACATATGTCAAGACTTGATAACTCTTTATCCATGATCTATGAGATGTGATCATCAATCTATCTATATAATAATCTCAATGCTTTAATGTTATCCCACTTTGCAATAAAGCTCGACTACAAATACTTTAAGAATAGTGTCATTATATTTAATGGGATCTCATGATTAAGTCACACTTAACATTTCATTAAACAGACGAATTATTCTAGGGACTTTATTATTTTGGAAAAGCAAACATAATAAATAAATGCCTTTTATTATTAATAAATAATTCGATACAAGTACCAAAAGTATTGGCCTCTGAGGCATACACCAACACAAACAGCTAGTCCTTAACATGCTCGTTTGTACTCTAGAGGAGTACATACACCACAACAAACAAAAAGGGGTGAGAATACGCTCAAATATATTAGTGGTGCAAAATATAACAAGGATAGTAATAATCACATAATCACCAATTACACATGTTATTCATAATTCAATTACAATCATCACAGATACAATCATCGCCCTCACTAATTAGATTCATAATCATCACCAAATACAATCATAAGCATCGCCAATTATATTTGTAAACATCACCAATTATATTTATGAACATCACCAATTAAATGCAATGTATATGCAATGTTCTCATCACCTCATCACCATATGCATGTGGTACCAGTCCTACCCACCAATTCGGATGTCAGGCTTATAGTACTGAATAATTTCATCACCAATATTTTGGATAAATATAGTTATATTACTGATTAAGTCTCATCACCAATTCCTCAACAAAACCTAGACTTTGAAATACATGTGTTGTACCCCAAAATTTGTCCTCTCATTTTTCAAGGCATTTCTCACCAGGATTCTCAAGGTTCAAGTTTGCAGAAGTACATTGGGATTTTCCAGTACCAAGATTAAAAGGAAACTGTCAAAAAGAAAGAAAACAGATAAAAACAATCCTTTTACAAAATTGGAGAAAAAATAAGTCCTTTCGTTTCAGCTCCTTTGATTGGCCTTTTGGCCTCTTTCGATGCAAGTTTGGCTTGCATCCTTCGATTGAGCATGGGCCTCTGGCGCGTTGGTTCACAAGGAAGGAGCTTTTTGCATGCCACCTTCGACTGCCC